AATTTTTATCTTATTTTATCAATTAGTTATTGAAATATTACAAAAATAAAAATTGATATATTGTTTAATTATTTTTATCCCACACTGTATATTAATCTATATCAAGGTTTTTCTAGATATTGGCTGTTATTATTAACTTTTTCTATTGAATAGAGGTTAAAACTAACATGTTAAGGCATCACCATTGTTAATGTCATTAGTATATAAATAAAAAAATTTGTTTCTTATTATTTTATCTATGCTAAGTTCTTTTTTCTGTTTGTTGTTGTTGTTTTTTTTTTTCTATTTGATATATTTTGTGTTCCTATTTTTTTTTGTCTGCTTTGCTGATATTATTTATTTCTTTTTATTTAATAATTTTTTCGTATCTTTTTTTTTATAATTTATTGATTACTTTTATTGTTTTTCCTATAATTTTTTTACATATTTCTTTTGTTTTCTCTTTTGCATACTGATAGATGTATTGGGTTATATCTTTTGTCAATATTTCCATGACTATGTGATTTCTTGTGCACTTTGAGTTGCTAATTATTGGCATTTTTGCTTTTATATTTTCTTTTCTTTTTTTGTTATTTTTATGGTATCTCTTTGTTTCTTTCTTTATTATTTTCTTATATTCTTCTGTGATTTTGTATTGTTAATACTTGTGTATCAGATGATCCAAACTTTCTGTTTTGTTATATTCTGAATATTTGTTTAATTTGTAAATATCCAGTCTTCTCTCAGCTAATCTTTTTAGTATAGAGAGTTTATTGTTAAGTATTCTATATCTGATTTTTCTATATATATGATCTTCTTAGCTTGTATACATTTTGGTTATTCTGGATTGGTATTGTTTTCTTAAGTAAAATATCAATTTATTTGTAACTTGTCTCTATATTTGATCCATACTCTGTTTCTTTTTTGTGTTATCCAGTTTGCTATTCATTTGGTGTTTTATATATTTTTTAGAAATTTTTTGATACTTGTTTAGCTGATATTCCTTCTATTTTAATGTTTTTCATGTTGCTGCTTTTGGATTAGTTGTTATGATTGTTTCATTTCTTTTGTTCTCTCTTTTTCTAATCAATTTGTTTGCTTCTTTGTTGTTTTTTTCTTCTTGGTATGCTTTAATTTAGATGAATATTATTTGTTTCTGCATTTCTTTAATGATTTTTTGGATTAGGGTTTTTATTATTCAGTTTGCACTTTTATATATTTGGCAACTTCCTTTGTCACTTTTGTGGATTTTTTGTATAACTGCCTGATTGTTTATATATATTTCAACTTTTGCTTGCATTGGGATTATAACCAGCATTGTTAGAATTGCTGTCAATTCTGCTCTTATTAATGATTGGAAATGTTTTGTATATTCTGTATATATTAATTTCTCTCCTGTTTTCTGATTGGTTATATGCCACTTTATTTCTATCTTGGTTCAGTTTGTTGCTTCCTGGATCATTAAGCCATCTGTATATGCTTTTATTCTTTTCCAGTTTTTGATTTGTTTGACAATTCTAACTAGTTTTTTTTTGTTTGAGCTGCTAGTTCATAGATATTTTATAATTTTATCTTTTATTTTTATTTGTTTTCTACTGACCACAATGTTGACTCTTGTTTGGATCTTGTTTTTTTTATTTTGTATATTATATATTATTGTGCCTAATAATGTTTGTATCATATTGAGATATTCTAGGATCTGGTTATGAAGCTTTGTACTATATACAATTTTGGTTACTGGAATGATTATTGCTTGGTTTATTTTAATTTCTCTGATGCATTTATCCTTTATATTGTTATTATAATTACATCCTTGACATTTGGAAATAGATGAATCTTCTTCTATCTGTTGCATATGTTGTACCTTGATTCTGTTGTTTATTATCTTATATCTGTAGTCTGTTCTATCAAGATATATTTATTGATTTATTATGTATGTTAAGTATCTTTGCTTTTGAATATTATGACTTTTTATGGCTTCTAACTGTAGGATTGAATTTAATCTTGTCAAGTCAATTAGTATAATTATGTATCTGTTCTCTAGTATATCTGGTTGGCTATATTTCTTTCTAATTTCAGTAAACCATCTTGGTTGTTTTTCTATAGGTTTGCAATTTGTAGCAGCTTTAATTTGTCTTTAGTTTAGCATGTATATTTGTTAAGCATTAGTAATCTATTCAATAAATATTAAATTGTGTTTTCTAATATTTATATTGTTCTTTTTACTCTATGTTTGTTCTATAATTTCTTTAATTGTATGTAATCCAGTGTTGTTATATGTTTGTATTAAGCTGTTATCTTGGTTCTGTTCTATAACTCTATTTTTTTTCTTAGGTATTTGTAAGATTTGATTTGCTAAACATTTGTTGGATTTGTCAATTGTTGTTTCTAGTTGAAGTATACTTTCTGGTATCCATATTCAATTTTATAAATGTTACAATCTGTTTCTAGTTAATACTCTACACAAATTATTTTTGTTAGGTTTGTATCCAACTTATTTATTTTTTTTAATTATTATTTTATATATTTTTTTATTGAATCTATAAAATTAGTCAAAATTTTATTTAATAATATACAGTATACAGTATGGTACAAAAAATTTTGGATTTTTTTATTTATTCATTATTCAAAAACTACTGCATAGAAATTAATAAAAAATTTATCAAAATAAAGTTAAAAGGTTAGAAAATTTATTAATATATAATTTTGGTAATTAATTTTTTTATCATTATTTTCAATTATTAATTTATATTTCTTTTTTATTGAATTTATAAAATTATTTAAAACCTTATTTGAAATTTTATCCCATTATTTATTATAAATTGTTCTAATTCTAAAATATCTTTTGGTAATTTCATTTTTATATTTCTTTTAGTGATAGTCTAAAGGTTTTCAATAGGATTTAAATCAATTTAAAAAATTTTTTTATTTAAAAATGCTATAGCAATTTTACTTGTATACTTGGGATTATTATTTTGTTAAAAGCACTAATTGTTTCTAAGTAATTTATTAATTTTTTGTTTATAATTTTACAAAATATTGATATAAAATTTCATATCTATAAGTTCTTTAAAACAAAAAAAAAAGTTTTTTTTTGTACAAAATTCTTCTTATGTAAAGATTTTAATATGATCTTTAAGTATTTTTTTAACTGATCTTATACTTTTATACCATTGAATAATTATATTTTTAAATAGTTGAAATGCTGTTTTATCAGAAAATAATATTTTTTTTCAGTTATCATCAAGATGTTTTTTTGTTCAAATAATATGAGCTTCTTTATAAGCAATAATAAGTATAAGTGTTTCTAAAAATAAATTATTTTTGTAATCCATATTGACCAAATGTCTTAAAATTGCTAAATGTGATACTTTGGTATTAATATTTTATCATTTAATTGGCAAAGTTCTTGAGAAAAGTTTTGGATTATAATATAAATATTGACCAATTGCTTTTGATTCAAGTGCTATAATCTTTTTAAGATAACTACCAATAGATTTCTTGAATTATTATCTTTTGAATACAATTTTTTGAGATTGTAATAGATAGTTAACATATAAATAATATTTTAAATTTTTTTGCATTATACTGTATGTCATATTTTAAATAGTTTGAGTTAATTTAAAATTTACAAGTTGAATCAGATTAAAATTGAATTTAAACACTAATTATTATTAATATTAATTTTACTTATAATCATATATAATAAATATAATCATGAAATTATGGAAACAAATTTATTTGATTTATAATGTATTATATAAAAATAAAATATTTTAGAAAATCTCAAATTGGCAACTAATTATATGATATTGTCAATAATTACAAAATTTCTTAAATCAAATTTCATAAAAATTTTTCTACTAAATAGCTGATTGTTAGTTTGAATAACTCTGGTGTTATCTTGTTAAGATCAGAAAGGTTTATATTGATTTTTAAATTTATTTAACTTATATAACTTGTATAAATATGTTCTACTAAATAATGATGATTTAAATGATTTTCTATATATTTTTTGTTATAAAACATTATTAATAAAATTTTTTGTAATAATTTTATTTTGTATATTGTTGTCAGGATTATTTTTAAAAACAATATCTGGTTTACTTCATACTTTATGATTTGGATTAATGAATTTGAAAGCCTGATCATGACATATCTTATTAGTATAAAAAACAAATAAAACTAGGATTTCTAACAATATCATTTTAATATCAAATTAGTATTGAATTTATTATGAGTTTAATATAGTAGATCACAATTTATATATTAAATTTACTATAAGTTAATATCATTTCAGTATCAATTTGGAATTCTAATCAAAACTAAGTGTTCTAACTAGTAAAAAGGCTTTATCCAAAAAAGACCATGCCTCGAGAAAACCATCATTGTTCTCAGACCTTTATTTATAAAGAGTTCAGAGGACCACATCAATTGGGCATATAATAGCTGAGAAATAGTAAGATAATCTAAACAAGGTTTTATGCTTCTTTGTCATATTTAGACACATGTTTCCGATCTTCTTGTCCATAGGTAATTGGTTGAACTTGATGAGATTATTCCAGGGATACATCTGGAGCAGTAATTGTCTATTGTCTAATGGTAAGGTATTGTCCTTGTAAATATTCGTAGGTAAGCTTTCATTCTCGTGGGATATCAATCAAGCGGTGTTAAGGTCCTCCAAAAACTCGTCCAAATGATCATCTGAAGATTTAGTTAATTGTTTGCTATATCATTTTGGGAAGAAATATGGTTGGTGAATTATCGTGTTTTGTAGAGGGAGATGTGATTTTTTGTGGAGAAAAAAACTGCCTGTCTGATCCGATATAATAAAAATAGGAATTATTAGATGGGATACAATAGAAGGGTTTAATAATGATGTAATATTAGGATACTTTGACAAACACTTACAAATTAGCGGGTAATCTCACAAACTCGTGAAAGAACTTGATAAGTTTAATGGTATATTTGACATTGCGCAAACTAACGCTGTATGGTTTCCCATTATCTGAATATACCGCTCTTCGTCTTCCTGTTTAAGCACACTATATCACATAATAACATAATCAAGAATTTGATCGGGTAATGGTCTTACTTTATATACAAGGTTACTTTGCTCTTCAAAATTTTTTAGCTTCTAGACCAGCTATAGTGATACTCCTCTGCGCAAACGGTAACGGTTGCATGTGGCAAATATTCGGATATTATGATGAATCAGTTTCTCACGATATATTTGACGAGCTATTAGATTCGCTAGGAGCCCAATGTTATTACGTGTTTATTTCGCCAAAGAATATCCAGGTTTCCTCCTAGCATTTTGCTAAACTTCGGTCATTAATTACGAAATGTCATTCTCCTTGATACCCGCATGAAGATTAAGTGCAAAAAACCTCATCTCTATCACACGGGCTAGAAACCCGATCAGACTTGTCAAAATCAAAATTGAGTTGGTAATATTTTATTAAATAAACATAGTAATGCATCCGGCCTCTTCACAAATAACAATGATTATATTCGCTTGCACTCTCAGCAAAATAAATACCATATTCAACATCTTTGAAATCTTATGAGATCCATTTAGCAGCTTGTACTTTTTTGTTAGACTTTAAATGTCTACTTTGTGTAAACATTAGCAATTGCAAACAGATTTAAACAAGTTCAGTTGTTACACTTTAGGTATTGTCGTTGTTACTGGAGGCAAAGTAGCCTTGACAGAAGCAGAAATTATCTATGTGCTGTTACAGGTTTGTTATCTATTTCCATAGCGTCCTCATCCACACCTTTCCGGGCGGCAACTTCACCACGATGAATTTTCTCTTATCCAAGTTCTTTAAGAATCCATTCTAATCCTTGTTTGCAAATTTTGCGTTCAATACTTTGTTGCTTAACGTTTTCTGTTCCAGCTTTGGCAAGTTTCGTACACCATAAAATTAATTTCTATTTCTTGTCAATAAATTGACCAGATCGAATTTGTCTTTATCAAAAAATGTTCATTAATTCATTTTCGTAGTCACGAGTATTTCATTCTAATTCAAGTATTTGCATGGTATTCGCCGTCTTTTCTTGGGCATGAACAGTTATTTGATATTAGACGCTGAAGCCAGAAGGCATTAAATCGTGCGGAGATATTTTTGTAAAGCCTTTGCACCAGTGACCTTTGATTTGGCAGTATCTGGACCAATAGTAGTTCGGAATCCTTCGTTTT